AGAATGGATCGTTGCCGTTCAAATGAGTTGAGATTACAACTTCCACATGGAGGAGGAATGGATCATTGAGCGTTTATAACTTGTATTTTTATTGACTCTCGCAGCCGAGATATGCTGGTAGAGTTTTTGGCTTTTGATTTCGTTTACTTGCCTATAGATTTCAAGTTCGCTACAAATATATATCGTATGATGTTCAGCTAGCTCTTTTTTATTGTGTGAACTTTTGATCATGATATATAATTGTTTTGCATAAGCGGGTTGAACAAGGGTTACGCTTTTGTTAACTTCACAAACCCCAAGGCAGCTTGGAAGTTTCTTTTAACAGCCTACAATATGAAATGGGACATGTTCCGGTCATACAAGATACGTGAAGTCGTTGCCACGTCTCCATGTATGGTGAGGAACATGGGTTTCTGTTACATGAGAAACACCCTGCTTTTCGTTCCTCTTCGATTAAAACTTGTATTTAAATGAAAAAGGGAGTTTTAATCGATTAAAAGGGAGATTTAATCAATTAAATCTCGAGTCAATCATTTTTGACAGTTTTGACCATTTAATCGATTAAATCTTCAAGTTAATCGATTAAAGAGGAACAGATTGGTGGATAGTTTTGAATCAAGAACAAAATAGTTATTAATTAATTAATGAAGGGCAAAAGGGTCAAAAAGCCATTGCTATACAAGTTTCAATTCCAAACTTAATGGCATCATAAATATTCTTTTACTATTAATATAAAAATAATTTTTTATTCGAAAAGGTATATAAATAGTTTTAAATATTGAGTACATCTTCAACAAAATGTTTTGACATTTTAGACAATTTAAAAAAAAAAAAGTTCTAAAAGCAATACTGTTTTAATTGTATAAATCCGAAAAGAAAGAAGTAAAAAAATGTCAATATTACGCAGTCGTAAAAATTATTTAAATTATTTAAATTTTGAAATATTTAAAAATACTAATTATATAAAATAAAGTGGCGATGTATTGAGGATTGAATATTATATAAGTACTGAAAATATTTTCTTTATTTATAACCCTCTAATTTTGATCAAATTAAAATTAAAAATATTAATTTTGAAAGAACTAATATATAAAATATTAATTTATGTTTAAAATAAATTTTTAAAAACTGTACTCAAAAGTATTAACTATATTTAAATAGTAAAAAAAATTTAAATATAAATATAAATTTTTATAATCGAAGAAGTCTCAAATCTTAAATTGATTTTACTCAATAAAAAATAGAAGAATATTTTAAAATTAATTATAATGAGTGCAAAATAATTATAAAAAGTCAAATTTTATACCATGCAAATCAAATTATTTTAAATAACTTGGCACAATAGCTTAAGAAACCATTGGATTAGCATTAATTATAATCAGTATTAACTATCAACCCACTATTAATTATAAAATATTAATTTATGTTTAAGATAATTTTTTAAAAACTGTACTCAAAAGCATTAAATATATTTAAAAAGTAAAAAAAATTTAAATATAAATATAATTTTTTTAAATCGTAGAAGTCTCAAATCTCAAATTGATTTTATTCAATAAAAAATAAAAAAAATATTTTAAAATTAATTATAATGAGTACAAAATAATTATAAAAAGTCAAATTTTATACCATGCAAATCAAATTATGTTAAATAACTTGGCACAATAGCTTAAGAAACCATTGGATTAGCATTAATTGAAATCAGTATTAACTACCAACCCACTATTAATCTAATTACTATTGAATTAACATTTTTTCTCTCTATGTCATACAATGGTAATTAGATAGATAATGAGTTGATAGTTAATTTTTTTTGTAGTTAAAAAATCCTCCCTCTAATAGTTATATGACATATATTTTACCTAAAATATAAATATAAAAAAAATATTTATTATTTTAAAAGATATAATTTTATGTTATTTTAATTTTGAGAGTAATTATCATTTTTGGTCCTCAGCAAATTTCACGATGCCCGCTTTAGTCCCTAGCAAATAAAAAGGCCCATTGTGGTCCCTAAAAAATTTAAAATGAACCCACATTAGTCCCTAAAACTAAAAGGACTAAAATGGATCCATTTTAAATTTTTTAAAGATCACGATTTGCCTTTTTATTTGCTAGGGACTAAAACGGGTATCGTGAAATTTGCTTAAGACCAACAAAGATATTTACTCTAATTTTGAAGTATATTTATTGGTCTTTACATTCTCTTCTCCAAAAAACTAGGAGGAGATAGAAATAAAAAATATTACAGAAGAAAAAATATATACAAAAAAGGAAATTATTGTTTTTTTAAGAGGGATAACTTTTTTCTAGTATTACCATTAAGATAACTTTAAGGGGTGTATTGGATTAGGATCTTAAAAGACTATTTTGATATAATACTTTTTTATAAATATTTAAAAGACCATCTAGAATTCTAGTGATTTAATGACTTTTTTAAAAGATTTTTTTTACAATCAAGATTTTATAAAATTAAATTTAATAAAATATATAAGATTTGAAAAGACAATATTGAATTATTGATTTATAAGATTTTTAAAAATTATATGAATTTTTAACAAACATTCAAAATTATAAGAGTCAATAAAAAAATAACAAAGAAATACAATGATATTAATAAAAAAGTAAAATCTAATATAATTTTTTCAATCACTAATTTGATATAACTTGATGTCTTACTAAGTAGCAGCTCTCTACATATTTATACTAGCCCTCCACGCATTAACATCTTCTCATTTTTGCTCTAGGGTTTGACCAATAGGATGAAATTTATTTTTTTCATTTGGTATTAAAGCTATGCATATATGATTATAAGACCCACAATTTTTTTATTTATTAAAACCTAAAATTTGCAATATTATAAAATTTCGTTTGGAATTTTTTGCAATTGATCTTGAAAACCTTGGGGGTTTTGTTATATGTGATGAGAGTTTTCTAACTATATATCATATGCATATTTTTATAGGGTATTATAAGAAAAATTCGAATCTAAATTTCTGGGTTTTATTATATGAAAGTTTAAAAAATTTCTCAAATTATTTTTAATCGATACATTGAAATCTTAAATTGCTTTGGGGCTTTTGAAAAACAAGTTTTTAGTGATCTATTGACACAAAAATTATTTGAAATCATTTCCTATAGCGAAGGAATTTCGTTCATGAATGTATTGTTACGAAACATTCATATTATGAAAGTTTCAATCTTGCTTTAAATCGACCTTGTTTCATTGATGTAAAACAAAAATTGGTTTAGGGGATTTTGTTTTCCTATTATTTTCTCATTATTTGTAATACAAAATTAATCACAAAATCATTTTTTAAACTTTCAAAAACTCAATTTGCTATTTTTTAGATGGATTAGATTAAAATCTTGTTGGGGTTGTTGTTTTTTAGTTGTTTTGTGATGAATATAGCTAAAAAATATGCTATTTTTTTATTTTTGACAAAGCTCTCGTGGCGAAACCTGATTTTAATGGGTCGACCCGCCAAAGGAAGAAGAAGACACTACAATAAAGAAATATCAAGAAATCCTAAGGGGGAGTTTGGTAGAGCAGAACTTTTTTTTTACCAGGAAAATATAATTATTAGGAATATAGTGGAAAAACAAGTTTGGTAGGAAAATTTAAAAAAGTTGTTTGGTAAGCCGAAACCAAAAAAAATTGGATAAAATTTTATGAGTATACGTATTTTTGTCACCATTTTCTTGCTCTTTTTTCCCTTTATCCAGTCATCTTCAAATACCACATCCCAAGTGGTATTCTTGCACAGTGTGTTTGGTCCCATTTTACAAGCAACTATGGAATACTGTGCAAATAACTTTGCACATCTCCTATACCTATCTTTCTTCAAACATATCTCCTACCAAACATTACCTAAGGGTTAGGATAAGATTGTGAGAGAGACATCATAATTATATTTCTCAAGTCTCACGAATCCTCACCAGTAGAAAATTCACTAAAATCGTGAGATTTTCGAATACCACAAGATTATTTTTTCTTTGTTTATAATCCGAATTGAATATTACTAGATATGAGTATACTCTAAAATAATATTTTAAAATCCTAATCGAATATCGCATATTTTTTTTTTCAATCCTTTAAAATCTTAACTAATTGAATACAAATGGATTTTTTTTATCTAAAAATAATCTATTAAAATCTTTTAAAATCTCAATCTAATACACCCTTTTATTCTCACAAAGTCCAACTCACTTTTGTATCAGGACATAAAATTTGTAGAGAAACATTATTTCCTTGGGCATGTTTAGTATAGGATAAAGCCTGATAGTATAAGACTTGATTAGATTTTAATACTATCTAGTGTTTGATATGATATTGTATAAGATAATATCCTCCAATATTTTAAAAATGAATATATTAAAAAAATTATTTTAGTATATTAATATTGAAATGATATATTAGTTATTGAGAATTGTACTTATAAGTAATATTAATCATCAATCCTTTATCAGACTTAATCTCACACCCTTAGGCCTGATTAAGTTATACATCATTTTGATGTATTAAGAGGTTCTGCTGTATAAGCTTATAATACGATGGTCACACCAAACAACAGAAAATGTCATAACGTATAATACAAGTTTATACTATCAAGCCTTATACATTACACCAAATAAACCTAAACAAATATGCGAACTAGAAAAACTAAGTGGGACCATCATTTCACGACGAAGTTGTGTCGTCTAAAACAGCCAAGGTTTTTCCCATAAAAATAGAGAAATATTAACCTCACGTGATAGGAGACAATAAATCTCTCATATACACTCAAAAAGACATGGGACCCACTTCAATTTTTTTTTCTCTTTTACTATACAATGGGACTCACATAAATTTGTGAGTGTAACATGAGATATTTTATCTCTGTATAAGAAAATATAATCGCTAAAAAAAAATCTATGGACTTTTTTGTATTTAAAAAAAAAAAAAACGAAACGAGAACGGTTGAATATTTTGTTTTTATCATTCTGCAGAGACGGGTCAAGAATTAGAGTTTGGTTTCTTGCTAATTAGGGTTTCTGATTTGCATCTCCTTCACCAATATATCCATCAAATTCATCATTCTCTTGATCTCTCACGATGACGGATGGCTTCTGGAATCGGCAGCAGGCGCTTCTCCCCTCTTCCGGCATGCTCAAACGACCTCGTATTGACTATGGTTTGCTCTTATCTCTTTTCGGTGTACTTTCTGTCGACAATACCATTATTTCACATTTTCGATGCACTTTCCCCCATCCAAATATACCCTAAGTGGGTTTTGAAGCTAGGTGTATTAGGTCTTTATTATAAATTGATTCTCATCGGATATAATTTGTGCAAAAAGAGGGAAATCATTTTGAGCATCACTAGCATTTTTTAGTTGTGATTTTAAAGTAGGGTGCAACAATGGCTGAGTGTATACCGGCGTGGAACCAGAATTAGAGTTTTGGGGTAAACATAAAAACTTTCTAGGGCCAGAACTATATTTCCATGTTGGGGCATTTTGAACTCCATAGTGTGCAGTACTGCATTTGCGCATTGAGCAGGGCAAAAGGTTGCTGGGGGAATAATGTTCCTTTGCATTGCACCTTTAAATCTATGACTAGGTTTGGCTCATCTGCATGCAATGTGGAGAAATCATCACTCTGTTTTTCATGCAATCTGAGAAATATTGAAGACTCATTAAACTTGAAAAGATCCCATCGAAATTAAGGGAAAATTAACCCTCACCTCCTTTCAACACTCTTTAGAAAAGCATATAGGCAGGTTCTACATGAAGCACACCATCTGTCTCTCCCGGTCATTCTTTTGCCTTCCTGTCAGCCTGTGACACTTCTGAATGGCATAATTCAATCCCTTCTGTAAGTATTTCTTGATACAAATGATAAAATCTAAGTAGTTGATTGTAGAAAGATGGCTTCCCCCAAGAGTATGCTATAGTGGCATAGCAGATTGTGAAGTGAGTGCTACAGAAAACAAAGCAGCTTCAATGAATTTTTTTTACAAAAAAAGGTGTTTGAGACTGAGTTTGTTTAGGAAAAGATAAGAGTTATTTTTTAGTTTCTAATACTAAGTTCTTAAGCTCAAACTAGTAACTGGAGAAGAATTAAAAAGAAATTGGTGCAATCACTTTATGAAAAATGAATGGGAATATCAGCTGAAGGAGGGCAAGGCCAAAACTGGTTGAGGGAGGCTCGAGGAGCAAGGCTAACTTGTGATCAAAACAACAGAGCCAGGCCGAAATAGGGAGGTTCAAATTAGATTAGAGAATCTGAAGCCCCAGATTCCTACATTTGATCTAAAATTGCAAGATTTGCAATTGATTGGTCCCTAAAGTCAACTAGGTGCAGCCCATTCACTGAAGGTGGGTTTAAGTAATGTTAAAACAGGGAATTTATCTCCCAGAGTCTTAGTGGAAGAGTGGCCCCTATTGGAGGCTGCTATGCCCCCCCACCGTGGCTCATCAAGCTGCTTCACTGAAACACTCAGCCATGGCCATTCAGGAAGCTGCCAACCCTTGGGCTGCTCTATTATTCTGCTATTGTTTCCAGTTAAGACTTGATAAAACTTGTGTTTCTTGCCACTCTTCACGATCCTTCTATTTGTTTGCTGAGCTGCTAGTAACAAGGGCATGCTTCCGATTGGGTATGAGTTGAGGCTAAAGATCCTTTGAGAAATTGTTCCCTTTCTTTTGTGTGTGTGACATAGATCTTTTTTTTTTTGGCAGTGAAGAGTGGAGTTGGTGGACAAAGGGTTGAGAGGGATTTAGAAAGATAAATAACATAAGGTGATAGTGACATTAATCTTTAAGGGAGTTATTAATGACATTAATCTTATAGGGGACAAATATTAAATAAGTTTATTTCTGATGGTGTTGTTGGGATATTGTTATATCACTGTTGATGATCCTTAGTCTATCAAACTTCTTAATAGTTAATATGTGGTCACATTAATTTTCCAAATACTTGGAAACATATTTCTAACATATTTTAGTAAGAGATATATGAAGAGTTTAAGATCCGCTTGCTGGTTTTATCATATCAATCATGAGGATCTTTAATATTTATAAGCTTCATAGTTAAATATCTGATAAAATAATTGATAAATTTAGATTTTCACTGATAGAAACTAGATCGGAGATAAAATAAAAGAGACAGCATAAAGAGCTTTTGGCCCAAAAGAACTGGATTTTCTGTTTGTTAATGGGAATTGAAAGTACAAACTGACCCTATGGAATACATGTAAATTGCAGAAAAGAAGATTACAAGCTGAAACAATCAACTATACTAAATTGCAGAAGAAGAACTAAATGCAAAGAAGTAATAAACTCTAGAAGAAAATGTACTCAGCACTTCCGAGAGGTGCTGCTCTCTCCCAGCCTAACCTCTTACGTGCCACTTTCACTATTTAACCAACTCTTCTAACCAACTTACCCAACCTTAGCATAGAGTACTCTAGAATATTCTATTTACGTGCTAAGTCATCCTTTGGAACTAATCCTCTGTAGTGCTTTCTATAGTACCTCCTCTGAGGAGTCTTATCAATACTTCCCCAAGACTTTCACTTTGCCCTCAAGGTGAAGTTCTATCCTCGAAAACCTTTCGCCGGGATCCCATTGCTTGAATTGTAAACAACAACTTATGACAAAATCATAGTGATTTCCTCCAGGGTTCCATTTCCTATCCACATTAGCTCCATCATCACCTTGCAGCATAAGAAGCTTTAACACACCAAAAATAGTGCTCGATCCATGACAAGAATGAATCCCAATCATTTGCTCCAAGATTGAACTAAGTCCACTATAAAGAGAAAATTCTGCCAAAGCAATCAACTTGAGCTCAATATCTTCAATAAGATCAGGTGTCCAAAATGCTTTCCCAATCTACCCCCTAGATAGATCTTTCTTTTACCCTTTTTCACGGAAGGCTTGGAGGAGACACACAAGAGCAGGATCATTTGGGGCTCCTTTCCAAGACTCATGTAACAAAGAGTCTAAACTAAATGCATGTAGATCGGTGGAATTGGAGGTTTGATTGTACCAAGAATGATAGCTAACCTCTCAATACAAATTACAATTGATTCTGAAACAAGGAAATAGACCAAATCTAGAAAGAACCTCAATGTTGAGTGCCTTCTTGTTTGATTTCTGAACATAGTAAAATGGCTGAATACATCTGCCTTAAACATAGGGTACCCATTCCCCTCTTGAAATTCAATGAATAAAATATTCTCCTACCCAACCATTGTGACTCACAGAGATGACATTCAAGTCCTCTGAAATTGGCAGCTATAACAAGCAATAAAGCAGTTTCGTAAAAAAAAACTGAGCCAAGGAACAGCTAAGTTATTGAGACAATAATCCAAAACAAGCAAGAGATTGTTTGTTTTATATTGGAACCAAAACACTTTTAAAAAGGAATCGATAACAGTAAGAACCTTGCTTAGGTGACTTTGAATCCTTAGTTTCGTGAAAAAAATGAGTGCCACCATCGAGGATTGACTCTCCTCCTTCTTGTCCTTGTGTTCTTCTTTCCTCGTGAGATTGGTGTAGGTGTAAGTGTTCATACTCGCCACTTGATTTGCTTTGTTTCTCTTGAAAGTTGACTTAAGGATGCATATCTGGTCTGTGACGTTGACGAACAGTCCCACCCACTCGTCAAGGGTGGCCGACACTGCTAAGATCTGCTCCCTCATGAGCTTCTGTTGTTGCATCAACCTCTTGCTGAATTTACCATCCAAAAATAAATAGGACCCTGGGTTTCTTGGTCCACTTTGTCGGGATAGACTGATGGGCTCATAAGCCCAATCCTCCAATAAAGCATAGACTGATTTACCATTGTGTCCGGGTTGGGCTTTGGGTAACTTAACAAAAATTTGGGCTAGATCAAAAAATTTACCCAACCCCATCCCTTATCTTGTTCGCTCATCTTCCAAATTCTTACACGTTTGCATCTGTCTTCTCTGTCCATAGCTGGGCAAGGAAGACTTCTCTACCTTAGACCTGGTGGTGGCTCTGGCAAGGGTGGAGGATCAACCTCAACCACCATCATTGGAGGTTGTAGTGACTCCGGTGACTGTGCACCCATCTCAAATGTCTTGTCCGCCTCTATAGTTCTTTCTTCTAAACCCTTTCTCACGATTCCCTGATTTTCATTTCCTCCCTTCTCTATCGACCATTCTAGAATTGAAACCAGTTCTATTATTGCCGTTTTATCTTCACCGTAAGTTTCCTTCTCTTGTTTCGATGTCTCATTCTCCTCCCACTCCGATTGCTGTTGTGGTTCAGGTTCAGGTTTTTGAGGATACCATTGTGCATCATCCACCTAACAAATTTCTGATAGATATTTCCCTATAAATGCTTTTGTAAAACTCCACTAGCTTGCCTTTGGATTGAGCCAAGACCAACATTTATATCATGTGAGATGGAATAAAAGAGACAACAGACAAGAGCTTTTGGCCCAGAAGAACTGGATTTTCTGTATGTTAATGGGAATTGAAAGTAGAAACTGACTCTATGAAATACATGTAAATTGCAGAAAAGAAGATTATAATCTGAAACAATCAACTGTACTAAATTTCAAAAGAAGGAATAAACTCTAGAAGAAAGAAATGTACTCGGCACATTCGAGAGGTGTTGCTCTCTCTCAACCCAAGATTCCCTAATTCAAGTTTAACCTCTTACATGTCACTTTCACTATTTAACCAACTCTGCTAACCAGCTCAGCACAGAGTATTCTAGAATATTCTATCCACATGCTGAGTCATCCTTTGGAGCTAATCCTCTATAGCGCTTTCTATAGTACCTCTTCTGAGGAGTCTTATCATTCACCTAACAGAAGCTTCCTTATCTTTGTCATGTTGATAGATTTAAGTGTTTGGTGTTGCATTTTATGTTTGACACATTTGAATTTTGGATGATTATTGGAGTCATATTAAGTTTATGTTTCAAGTATGAGTTTTTTCATATGTATTTGTTGATTCATTTGTATAGTGTTGTTATTTTGTTTTGTTTTAAATACATATAAACATCTTTAGTATGTTCTGCGCTCTGCTTCAATATTACCCTGCACAACATTGTGGTGCCATGAGGCCTGTGTCCAGCATTGTGCATTGGGCAATAAATAACAATGTTCATGTTTATGTTCTTGCAACAAATAAAGACTTAAAAGGAATGAAATCTTGACAATTTTTTTGTTTTTAGCAAATTTCAAAATTAATTTACAGAAAATTTGCTATGAAGGATTTACACTAAATAGTATTCGATGTGGTTACTAGTGCTGAAATGGATAACTTGCTTATGATTTATCAGTATTTCATATGCAAGGAGATTTAAATATGAGAGTATGAAGGATTTCTATTTTCTAAAAAACTTAGGAGAATTAATCGCAGGTATATATGCCTTTTTTTTGGTATTATTGTGAAATGGTTCCCCGTTTAAGAGTTCAAGTCAGATTCTCAAACTTGTCATCATCTTGAAACTGAGAAGCCATGCATTGAGCTCGCACAAGTTCAGATTATGAGATTGAGATGTAATAATGATCTGTGTGTATGTAATTGTGTGGGCTTGCATTTTCTTTCTCTTCTCCTTACTCTTTATTGTCAAAACTCCTTAAGCTTTTCTTTTCTTTTTGATTGGGGACTTGTAACTATTTCCTTTTGTCATCCTTAGAAATCCATAACATATCACCTAAGAAGCATCGATATGTAGCTCAGCCCACTTTACCTGTGTCTGGTAAGGCTCTGGTACTGGTACTCGTGCTAGACAATGTTGTTTAGTTATCTGTTTTGCTAGCATCTGGCATATTTCTTTGATGTATTTTATTATAGTCAGTGATTAGCATTGTAGGAATAGCAACGATATATGATATTGCAAATAGACAGAAACATTTTTGATAGAGTGGGTGCTTTTCAGCTTTATTTCTTTGATAGAGAAGTAGGTTGTAAGACTTGATTCTGTTACATTGCAGATATGTCCCCGTCTGGTCTGACTTCAGTTAATGAGATGCATAATTATATTGCTCGAGATGATGACCGTACCGGTCACCGAATGCTAAAGGACACTAAATCACTTGGGTCTGCTTATGACCGTTACCTTCAGAGTGGGGGGGTAACATCTTAACCTGTTTCATTTGCATAATGACTAATGAGTGTGTGCATGTGCTTTTACTGCTTGTTTGCTGAAAACTTTCATCCTGTTTGGTTATGAAGCAGATTACTTCATTTAATTCTGGGGAAGCGAGTACAATTGGTGGTGTTGGATTGGCAAGGGGTGTTGGTGCAGGCCATTCATTAGCTGATCCTGCTGTCATTGGGCATCCTGCTGGTGGTGGTCCTGATCTTGCACGAAATGGACAAAATGTGAATTATGGTGGTCAGTTACCAGTAGATGCAGTTTCCAGGCCCGGACCTGAGACAGTACCTTTACCCTCAGATGCTTCAAGTACTTTATATGTTGAAGGTCTCCCATCTGACAGCTCAAGAAGGGAAGTGGCTCGTATCCTTTTTGTTCTAAGACACTGTTTAGGAATTGTCTACTCATGATTTATCCGTATCTACTGAGCTCCATTTATTATAATTCAGTTACCCAAGTTCCTTAATGTCATGTTTAGATATTTTTCGCCCTTTTGTTGGATATAGAGAAGTGAGACTTGTGAGCAAAGAATCCAAACATGTAAGTGTACTGTTTGTAACAGTTGTCTGGTTGTCCTCTTTTGACTTTGTTACTGTCATGCTTATTGGTTGAAAGATCCATTATCCTTTTTTATGCTGAAATGCTTGTTGATTGCAGCGTGGTGGAGATCCTCTAATCCTCTGTTTTGTGGATTTTGCAAATCCGGCTTGTGCAGCAACTGCTTTGAGTGCCTTGCAAGGTATCGATTCTTGCTACCTGCTGATATAAAAGGAGATTAATTTCATTTTTTGGTTATGCAAGTCATCTAGTAGGGAATTGTAACGCTCGGCCGCTTCAAGAATCAACGGCTATCCCCACATACTAACACGAGACTTTTCAGTGTGCTTTTTCCTCACTCGCACACTTCCCGAGAAAACTTCCCAGGAGGTCACCCATCCCAGAATTGCTCCAAGTCAAGCACGCTTAACTGTGGAGTTCTTCCGATCCGGGCTACCGAAAAGAAGATGCATCTTGTTAGTATAGGTAGTATCAATTAATTCTTTTAAGCTATTCCCAAACTGTGCAGACTCATACCTGCACAGTCTTTGGAATCCCTCTCTTTCGGGTGTCGATTCGATTCATTCATGCATGTAACCCCCAGCTGGAAGCCTGTCAGGAGCCGCTCCTTGTCCGTGCCTCTTTGCACCGGCGATCACTCCCCGCCCTCGTCAGCGCTCGGGATGTTACATGCCCACCGGCTTCCGCCTGGTTCGTTCTCGAACCACACCGTACTGGAAGAGAGGCCTACTCTGATACCACTTGTAACGCTCGGCCGCTTCAAGAATCAACGACTATCCCCACATACTAACACGAGACTTTTCAGTGTGCTTTTTCCTCACTCGCACACTTCCCGGGAAAACTTCCCAGGAGGTCACCCATCCCAGAATTGCTCCAAGTCAAGCACGCTTAACTGTGGAGTTCTTCTGATCCGGGCTACCGAAAAGCAGATGCATCTTGTTAGTATAGGTAGTACCAATTAATTCTTTTAAGCTATTCCCAAACTGTGCAGACTCATACCTGCACAGTCTTTGGAATCCCTTTCTTTTGGGTGTCGATTCGATTCATTCATGCATGTAACCCCCCGCTGGAAGCCTGTCAAGAGCCGCTCCTTGTCCGTGCCTCTTTGCACCGGCGATCACTCCCTGCCCTCGTCAGCGCTCGGGATGTTACATGCCCACCAGCTTCCGCCTGGTTCGTCCTCGAACCACACCGTACTGGAAGAAAGGCCTGCTCTGATACCACTTGTAACGCTCGGCCGCTTCAAGAATCAACGACTATCCCCACATACTAACACGAGACTTTTCAGTGTGCTTTTTCCTCACTCGCACACTTCCCGGGAAAACTTCCCAGGAGGTCACCCATCCCAGAATTGCTCCAAGTCAAGCACGCTTAACTGTGGAGTTCTTCCGATCCGAGCTACTGAAAAGCAGATGCATCTTGTTAGTATAGGTAGTACCAATTAATTCTTTTAAGCTATTCCGAAAAACAGTTCTAAATTGCAGTGAATAAAATTACATATAAACAAGTCTACAAGTATGATTATGCTTATCCAACTCATAAAATTACTCGATTACTGAACTAAAGGGTTTCAACTTGGGAAGTTGTAAATCACTCTGTTACACTGAATATATAGATATATGCAAGTTATCTTTAAAGCAAAGGCTTGTTCAAACTGAAAAACTAAAACTTCATAGTAACTGAAGTAGTGAATACGTGACAAATGAGTGCCAACTTCCATGGTTCCGTTTGTTATCGTCTCATTCAAAGTTACATAAAATGAACAAATACCAAGATATCTGTTCTATTAACTATCAATATCATCGTCATCATCACTTCTGAAATTGTTGTAATGCTGCTTTCTAGTGCGTCTGCCTTCTTTGCAATAATCTCCGTCATTGGGAAATGTATTCCTGTTCTCTATCGGTACGACATGATCACCATTACTGTCATCAATATCATGATATTTTTGGGAAGTCAAATGAAGCCCAAAATTCTTCCATTATAACGTAGTCAGCTGTGCCTTTGATTGGCAAGCTAATAGCCATGTTTGTGAGTATCGTAGTCAGTCATAAAAAGTTAGTAGGATTTGAAGTCAATGGTTAACAACCTTTTACATAATTGTGTGCCCAAATTTCATGGTTTTTGCTGACATTGTGGTTGGATGGCACAGGTTATCAAGTTGATGAACTCCATCCTGAGTCCAGTCACTTGCGGCTTCAGTTTTCTAGGTTTCCTGGTCCCAGAACTGGACCTGGACCTCGTGGCAAGAGGTGAGGTGGTTAACCTAGGGCATTTAGGTTTTATGTGTGTCGTAATGTCTTACAGTCTTCCATTATCCCCATCTTTCTGGGGCGAGAATATTTACGGGTCAATGCTTTGCACATGCAAATTTGGTCTCTCCCTCCTGGCTACTATCCTAGTTAATGCTCTTGGGGCACAGACACTATTAACAGGCTGAGGTAAGGCTACAGCTGCATTTGAGCAATTCTAACATGAAGATTTTGGATGCTCATTGCCGAGTACCTTGTTGTATAAATATTGATATTTTGTAGTATGAAACTGATGTCTTATTTACCATAGCATTTACTTTTTGTTGCTCAAATGAAGGTATCATTCTATTAATTTTTTTGTTATAATTTTCGATTATATCTGGCATGTGCATACTTTTAGGTCTGTGCCTGTGGAGCTATTGTAATCTAGTTTGTAACTGAGTCAGGGAACTCTGGTGAAAGTAGGCATATATGGTAGGGAATAGGGATTGAAATTGGAGTTATTTTGGCTAATGGGACAAGTTTATTATATCTTGGCTTTATGATACCACGGTTCCTGGCTCAAAACTGGGAATAAGATTGCTACTTCGATTGATAGAGAAACCGATTCTGTGTTTCACTTACACTGCTCTCATCTTTTTACATCGGCAAGATAGATATAATAATTTTGGAATATAATTGCTCCAGAAGTCTTATCTTTACCAAAGAATATGATCTGAATTGGTAGTTTCTGTGGTAAAACTTTTTCAGGGATCCGTTTTCCTACAAAAAGTTGGAGTATGTAACCCGGTTTGATGGGTTATGTTTTTAAATTGTCCTTTTCATTTTTATACATTTATTATAAACAATTTTATAATAAAAAATATTAATATTTTGATTGTTAAATTAAATATTATTTTTTCAAGCTTATTGTACAATTACTGCAATGTATCATTAATATTTAATTATTAGTAAATTATTTTTATCAAACTAACCGTACTGTTTATTATCATGGCACTGTGAACAAATCATGTTTCATTTTACAACAAATGTTGTAATTTTAAGTTTTACAAAAGTCTAAATTTAAGTGTCTGATTGTTATGGTGGTTAAACGACGGTATTACATGTTTGGTTTGTAAGATATTATTAATAAGATATTGGGGAAAATGTTTTTCTTTCTCCCATAATAGTAGATAAAGTTATTTTTAACAATTGTAAAATTATCTCATTTTGGGGATTGATATAATTAATGAAGAATTTTTTAGAATTTTTTTTTTTGTTATATAAATTTTACCAGAACACCTTCATTAATTTCCTCAAGGGATTGTTGGAGATGACTTAGAGAAATGATAAACTCAAAAATATATGTGAGAAATCCTAAGAGGAAATTAAAATTTTCAAAATACCTTTTATATTTAATCTTAAACCCCAAAACAATTATTTTAGAGATGTAGGAAATAACTTTATATCATGTGATATAAAAAATATTTTCAAATATATATATATATATATATATATATATAGGCTTTAATATTTTTAAAGTGAATGTAGATAAATTATCTACATTCGCTCCCAAAACGACGTCGTTTTGGGTTGAAAAATTAAAAAATTATAATGAAAAAGACTATTATAACCTTGAAATAAATTATAATTACAAAAATACATTGATTTTCGCTTGAAAACGACGTCACCTAGGGCTTAACGTAGATAACTTATTTACATTGACTATAGAAAAAACAAACTCATATATATATAATGTAATTAATTATGAGAATAATGTAATTAAATATGGTCGTTTGATGGACGGAAATCAACGTTTAAGATTAAGTGTAAGAGTAACACTGGTGTAAGTTGATCCTGATTTATATATATATATACCGAAAAATATTTCTGCAGTTACTGCATATAAGTTATCTGCATTTACTTTCAAAATGACGTCGTTTTGGGCGTGAAATATTAAAAAATTACAATAATAGAGACTATAATAACTCTAAAATAAATTAAAATTATAAAAACACCATGATTTCTGTCCTAAAATAACGTCGTATTGAGCTTACTGCAGATAACTTATCTGCAGTAACTGCAGAAAAAGCGAACCCATATATATATATACAGGGGCGGACCCAGTAGGGGGCTAGGGTGGGCCCCCGCCCCCCCTCTAAAATTTGGAATTTTTTTTAATAATATATGTAAAAAAATGTGATAATGAAATTATCGTGTTGTACATATTTTTTCCTTCAGTTCCCCATGCTTCTACTCACACTCTTACCCATATTTTTCTTTGAGAACATCATATCATCCTCTCTCTCCTTTTCGTGTTTCGTCCATCACCAACCTCCTTCTTCAGCCTTTCGATTTTGGCTGTGTAAATTCTAGAGCCAGGCAGAATCAACTTCCACCTTCTTAAAATCATTGCTTGTATGTATAGTCATAGACTATATTTGATTACATATATTGAAAAAGATTATTTTGAATTTTAGCACGGATTCAATATATATGAGTTTAATAATATGAAAACACGTAGAGCAAGAATAAGTGAAGTGATGTTAATTCTTGTAATAGATTTTTTTCAATTTTTTGTATATTAAATTTGTATTTTATTTCAAGTACTTTTATTTATGATATATTATTTTTTATTTTCGTCCCCTTTTATTAAAATTTCTGTGTCTGCCACTATATATATATATATATATATATATATATATATATATATATATATATGGCTTATCATTTTTCAAGTTGCTTGAGATAACTTTATCTCCGCCTACTAAATCATACCCTTACAAAGATGGATCAATGGTGATAAATGAATAGTGAGAAAAGAGGAATCATAATAATTCAAAGGTGAATCAATTAATATACGGAAATAAATAAATAAAATGACGTAATTTTGAAATAACCAGAGATAAATATATCTGAAGCAGCTTGAAAAATATTTTTTTCATATATATATATATATATATATATATACGAAAAATCCAAAATTCAGTCACTGGACTGTCGAGTGAGTGAATTTTGACTATATTCTCCCGCGAGAATATAATGCAAAAACATTACAAATGTGTTCTGGAGATGTTCTCCCGGGATAACATAGGCAAAAATTTTTGTGCACTATATTCTCGCGGGAAAATATAGTGCACTAGACCTAATTTACATCAAGTCACTTGATACTCACTAAATCCATATATATATATATATATATATATATATATAATATATATATTTTGCTTTACCGCTGCACTAAATACTTTTTATATTTAATTATATGTTTTACAGTTTTAGTATGAATAAAAAAACCTTAAACTCTTTAAACATGTAAATTTAAATTTGTTCTCAAATTCATATGTCTAAAGTACTGTTCAGAAATGCTTTCCCGTACCAATTTTAATTGTGGCCATCGTAGATTTACTACTGCATTTTTACATTTTTTTAATTAAAATATTTTTACCAATATACCAAACGTTTTTGTGTTTTTATAATTTTTTACAAATATTTTTATTACAATTTTATATTTTATAATTTTTTTATTCCCTTACGTTTTTGTGTAAAATCTCATTTTTAAATATACGAGTTTCCTAAAACTCCGGCTTTTGTTCTTTCTAAATCACCGTCGGCTACCTGGCATCCTTCAGAAGAAATTGATGGCAAATGGTAATTTATTTATAGTTTATTCTTAAATTAATTAAAAATATTATTAGATCATTTTCAGGATATAAAATTTAAAATTTTATGTAGTCTATTTGTATGTTTCTTTTTTTTTTTTAAGCAAATAATTTAAGAATGCTTTTTATTGTCGGTTAGGGATTTTTTATTTTGTTTTTATGCATTTGAAAATGCTTTGTGATTTCGAAGCAAATGATTGTTTGCTACAGTGAAAAGATGCAATGTCTCGTAGATGGTTTATGAGTCGGCAGATGGTCCATTTTGCTTCCTTTACGTACAAAGGTAACAGAATAGGTATTGTAAAAGTTAAAGCAATTTAATTGGTCGAGGAAAAAGTATAACGTTTAAACATTGTTCAACAAAAAAATCTATATCCTGTCCACTTAATTTAAGATGTGAGTGAGGTCCATTAAAAATAGAAAAGAAAAGAAAAAACAAAATACGACCCACACTTTATATCATGGGTCTTATAAGAGTTATGATGTAGGAAAAGTGATGGTGAAATGTTATAGAAATTCATTTTGCATGCATTAATTTTTTTTTCTTTAAAAAGTGCGGGCTCCACAAAATATTATGTGTATAGAAAAAAATTTTGTATCATGTTAAAGGACAAAACAAAAACATTTATATTTTTTTTTGGAGGTTTCAAAAACCCTTATATTATATCACGTGTGTAAGGAAAACATTTTTCTCGTGTAATGAGCAAAAATTATAACCCTTACTTTTATGGGTTTAGTGTGTGTATTTTTAAAGAATATAATATTATATTTTTAATAGTTATAATTATGTGTTAGGTATAGTATATAGCTATAATATTAAAATTATATTTTGTTTCATTTTTTATGTCAGCAAGCAAATAATTTTTAAAGAGAGAAAAAAATACAACTATAATATTGTAATTATATATTATCCATAATACATAACAAAAATATTTTTAGCAAATTTTTTTTCTAATAATAGATAACAACTATATATTATTCGTATTGCATAAAAGAACACAGCTTTATATAGTTTTAAGGAAATATTTTTCTCATGTTGCATGAGACAAAAAAAATAGATAGGAGCCACTAAAAAGAGGAGAGAAAAAGAAAAAGAAAATAAATCTCATTCACTTTTTTGTGTATTGCATAATACAAATTGTGTCATGCAATATAAGAAAAACATTTCTCGTAGTTTAAAAGCAAAAACTTTTTCCCTACTTTTATTGTAAAAATATTTTCGATCGTAATCATTTGAAAATATGATACACACCATGTCAAATATCACCTACCATAAAAGTTCCAATGGAAGTTACTTGGTACCATACAGCTGGACTCGTGAACTTTCAATGTTAATTGCTGCATTTTTCTTGAGTTTTAAAAATAGGAGTTGAACTTTAATTCTCATGGCTTTACTCTAAAAGAGAAAAATACTCGGAATGGTATTAAAAAAGCTTCATTTAAAGAATGCATTGCTCCAAATTCAATGTCTATTAAAGGCAGTAGTGCTGGTTTAATCAATCTCTATCGTCCCTTGGCATCTTTCTGCAGTTGGTGGCTGACTTTTCTTCTTCTTCTCTTTCCCTTATTTAAGCACATTGTAAGTCTCAGAAAGTAATCCATAAGAAAGCAAAAATAATGAATCATCCCTGGTACCTTGCCTTGCCTTGCCTGCTTTAACCACAAGCTCAGATAATGTAATTTCCTTCTTACTTGTTGACGAAATTTTAGTGGGGTATTGTATTATTGCTGTTCTGTTTTCATTTTTCCCAATTAAAATGGGGATTCATTACTTCCATCTTTGTCCAAGATACTAGGACACTGTAAGAACTGAGACATCTAATTTCATGGGGAAGATGAGAAGAACTGCAAGCATTGCCAGTGTATACAGGAGTTGACATCTCATGAAATTAA